ACTTTTTTCACTTTAATGTTTCTTCTCCTCTGTGAAGCCTGAAGTCAACTAAAGGGCTAATGATAACCGTCAAAACGCCTGTCATTTGATATAAATAAATGATAAGCAATAGTTTTCAATTCTATTCACTTCCTAGTCAAGGTGGTAGTGAGACAAGGTCATCACCTGGATGAGTGAGTTTATTTAAATCGCTTCAATAAATTTGCATCCTTTATATCTTCAATAGATAAAAATGTCTGTAAATTTAATTTTGATTATATAAGCAAAAATTTTCATTTATCTATTAGTAAAATTTCGGCGTCTTACTGCAAACAGTGAGAATTGAAGAAAACCCATTGGAATTATATTAACTCCACAATTTAAGACGAAATGAGTGAAGATAAGCATATTTTTGAGACCATTAAAGTAATCTCTTTCTTTGTCTTTGATTTTCAGAACCAACTAATATCACTGCTTTGAATAGTTCAGAGAGCAGTTTTTTACTAAATTGGCAGCCTCCGAAATTAAACTCGGAAGGGATAACGAAGTATAAAATTCAGCTGAACTCTCAACCACCACAGTTCACCCCAAGCGCAACTACGAAAGCACTGATAAAGCGTCTAAATCCGACAACCATGTACCGAGTCAAAATATCAGCTTGTTCCAGACAAAATGACTGTGGAATGTGGGAGGAGGCAATTGCGTGGACGACTCCAAGAAGTATGTTAAAAATCGAATTCTTCTATACTTTCTAATAAGTGCTCTAGAAGCAGTGCGAAGGGGGCTGAGGCAACATAGCTGTCAAATACTGATCGATCTAAGTTAAGGATTCAAATACGTATAAACATAAAATTAGGTGATTCCATGCAGATTCTATTGAGTTCACGCAAAGCTATTACGTTTTATTAATTCTTATTTAAAAACTGACCTAAAGTAGCAAGTCCAACTATCAAAATTTTTAAAAAAAACAAGTCGATAAAGTGGACAAGAGATTTCCCCTTAATCCAATAGTCAAATCGTGCAGCTTAAATTAAAAATTAAAATCACATAAATATTGCTATCTGAGTTGAAATAAGACACATTACTACTCCTGTCGCGTCTGTAAGACATCTTTAAAACAGGGACAAATTATACTAGACATCCCTTCGTAGAGCCAACTTTATTCAATTGAGAAGACTAAGAGTTTTGCGGAATCCTGTGTTTATAGGGCATTTAGAAACGAGGGGGAGGATGAGCGCACGAGAAAAAAAGGAAGAAAACCGTTAAAAACAGGAGAATTAGAGTCAATAGGGCTCCTTGTGGAAGCTGGTCCTTTGTTCATGGGTGGCAAAAAAAATACAAAGAGCGTTCTTGCTGAGATTTGAGTCACTATAAATAGGTGATACACTACCAACAAGTTTTCGCACCCCCCTCCCTTCCTCCACATTTCATTTTTAAAACTTCTCTTGTTCAATTGACGTTACCAAATCTCAATTAAAAATAAGCAAAATATCAGCACTGAGGTTATCTACATCAAAAACGCTTCCCTAGCCAATAGGTGGTGTCACAAAATATAAATTGTCTGTTTGAGGTCTCCCGATTGCCTCCTGAGCTTGTCTTAACTAGGCATTTTAAATGTGGGATAACTGAGCGCGATTTTTATTTCGAATTTGAAGCTGATTCGTTAAATTGCATCCTCATAGCAAGCACCTGTACAAAAGTTTGTTGAATGGTATCGATTTTCATCAACTGATAAAGTATCTAAAAATTCGCAAAACAACTCCATGCTTGGTCTATTTTTATTCAATGAAAGTGCAATAAAGTATTTAATTATTTATTTTGGCACCATAAGGACGTCGCTTTCTAATGCTCTTCGCACAAACTTTGATTCCCAAGCATTAATATCGCCATCGATTTGTTTTTTTTTGAAACAAAGTCGGTATCCTAAGTTTTATTTGAACTTCAGATTAAATATTCTCTCGATAAAAATCCGTTAAATGGCAAAAACAATAGGAAAGCCGATATCAGCAAAGTCATTTAATCGTGAAGTACACTGAAAGAAGATATTTATTTATTTATCTCAAATGGCAGGCATCTTGATGGTTATCATTAGCCCATTAGTTGACTCCAGGCTTCACAGAAGGGAAGGAATATCAAAGTGGAAAAAAGTCGAGAGGAGGGGGGGGGGACAGAAGAGTGTTTCAAAGATGTTAGAGACAAACACAAAGGTAGAACAAAGGTGAGGTGAGTACTGTGTAATATTCGAATATGGCATAGAGTGAGGTGATGGTAGTTTGAAGTGAGAAGTCAACTGCCAGGCAATAGACTTTTTTGACGTATGAATATACGTTTCCCAGGGTGCACCACGTGGAGGTAAGTCTATCGCACACCCCTCTATCGCACACCCCCTGAAAGAAGATATTGAAAGTCAAATCCATCTTAACGTCTCTTTACTTTCCAAAATGATTTAGAATGGATTTTAATATATGGCAATTTTTTTCTGTTATGTTTTTAATGCAATGCAGAACCGAAGGAACTGCGTTTGATGACTTTTAAAAATGGAACGCTAAGGTGTGAATGGATTAAAGACGAGAAGGAAGATAGAATAAATTTTTACGAAATAGACCTTCAGGAAGTTGACAATCCTCTTCAAATTGAAAGTCATATTCTCCCGAAAGAAAGCCAATTCTTTGAATACGAAACGCCCAAATCCCATACGGAATACACAGTGATGCTGCGCGCTTGTTTTTATTATGAAAATTCAACGAAGTTCTTATGCAGTTTAGCGGCCAGCGCTCAGGTCATCACATTACCCAGTAAGTCACATAATTCGGAAATTTGTAAAATATTTTAATAACTATAAAGGTCAAGAATACTTCCACTTTAGGAGCTGTCAAATACATCGTTTTTGAAAGAACACCTTCTTCTATTGCCCTTCAACTCTTAGGTCCCATTGATGAATCGCACTTCAATTATACGCTTCAGGTTGTAAATAGATCATCGGAAGTAATTTATATTTCTCAGACAAGGATTTTTAATGTTACTTCACTACCCGCTAACAGTGAAGTAACGGCATCTTTGGTGACATGTTGCAGGCACAATCTTTGCAGTTCTTCATTCGACAGTGCCACTTTCACGAAACCCGCATGTGAGTATCTGCTATTTTCAAGTTAATGACACATTGTTGTTGGAAAGTGCTTAAAATCGAAATAATTTTGTAATTTTTGTAGCTCCTTTGAACTTAATAATTGCAAACGCAACGGATCAGACATTGTTAGCATCATGGGAACGTCCAAAAGACAATGAAGAACCAATCTCTAACTACAGAGTAATTACTAGTGATGAAAGGGGTCATGAATATAGATGTGACCCTACTAATCTCAATTCAACACGTATTAATTGCTTAGTCAGAAATCTATCTCCTTGTCAACATTACAGCATTTCTGTCAGGACTTGTGCCCGTGGGTATGACTGTGGACCGGCAATCACTACTCAAGAATATACACTGCCCGAAGGTATTAAATGGGGTTTAGAATATTGAAACACCTGATTTCAAACTTACTAAACACTTTTGCAATTATAGCCGTAAAGGAACTTCGTATTAAGCAAATATATTCCACAAAGGTTAATTTTATTTGGAAGCCACAAGATTTAGAATCCTGTGTATTAGCAAACATTACAGTTATAGTTCAAGAGCGGAGTACACGTAACGTTTCTGGACTCTGTTTTGTATCGATTTCGGATAATATGTTGAACCAATGCAGTACTGGAAACCTAATACCTAACACTGAATATATGGCATTTGCTATTGCTTGTTCTAAAACAACCCTTAACTGCGCTGCCAAAAGTGAGAGTATTGAGTTTACAACACTTCCAGGAGGTGAGTCGTAAAATTTTGCTCATAATGATTTGGACAATGCTGATTCAACATTTAACCCTCGGTTTTTTTATTCAGTGCCTCAACATTTCCAAGCCATGATAGTAACCACCGAATCTGCAGAATTTAGGTGGAATAGAAGCTCTGGGCGTCAGGATGGTTTGGATGGTTATCTAGTACGTATTTATGAAACATCACCAAGTGGTGAACTAAACCACAAAGTTCCAATTGCCAATTGCTCAATTCCAGCAATAAATCACATCCACTCTTGTAATCTTGGCAACCTCAAACCTTCTACAAATTATTCCGCCACTATTGCAGCATTCAAAATTTTGTCAAATGACACAAAAACATTTGGCGATGAATCAGCGAAAATTTATTTCACAACAAGTAAGCATGTCGGTTTTCCCCATTGAATATCCAAAGTTATAGGCGAATATTTGTCTCTGTGGGCAATGAGAGGTCTTTCATTTAAAATATTTAATTATTATTTGAGTTTGAACCTCAAAGAGAGAAATTTTAACTCAGACGTTGAAAAACAATTCATTGTTGCATCTAGTAAAGGGTCGATTTTAGTTATTGGATAATCGCATTGGGGATGTTCATTTTTGTGTTGGGAGTTATAAGAAAGGCACTGACAAAAGAGTTTACCTTTCTGATAATCATGAAATAAATCATGATTTTCTTTGATTGATTAAGACTTGAGACTTATTATGCAGCGTAAACAAAGACTTCGTGACCATAAATAATTAAATCTTTTTATTAAAAGTGAATTTATACTCTTTTTCAAGAAATATGGATGCATCTGATGGCAGAATTTGAAAACTTGACTTGACAGCATGATTGTAGCTTCCCTCTTATCAGAAACACACAGGATGAACATCGGTTGTGATATCTATTAACTGGGAAATACTTTTTTATTCAACTTAGATCCACCATTTCCAATTACCGCCATTATACTCAGTCTGTTGGCTCTATTTTTGCTCCTTCTAATCGTTTTCGCTGTCATATTTCGCCAGCGTAGCCGCGGAAACGCATATGGCAATGATCATAAACAAGATGACTCTGACATTTCTAAATCGTGAGTTATACCGAGGTCGAGGCTTTATTAGTATATATATTTTTTTTTTTTGAGAAATTCTGAGCTTTAAATTGACAAAGAAAGTGGAGAAAAACTTCACTTCAAATTCATCTAATAATTGCGGAAGGTGTTTATCAGAATAGACTAAGCTTTAGGGATTCAAATTCATAATTACAAAGTCATTGAATGGTATTACCCAATGAGCTTTCATCTTACTATAAATAGCAACAAGATGATACTATTTCGGGCTTTAGATCTCGTAATTGATGGCCTGTCTTGTATTAAATTTATTGAAAATACCATCTATAGTGTGCAGATTGCTACCTTAATAAAGCCTGATTGACTCAGAAATCTCTATGGCAGATTCTCCTACATCTAGCTAGACTCCCAGAACCAGCTAAGCTATAGCCCAGTTATAAAGGAAACAGACGTGTAGCACGGAACATGTTTATTCAGTACGGGTATTGCGGATAAAGTGTGTACACGCAGGGAGCTACTCATGATCAGGATGGCGTATTAGGTTAAACAGAGGTTAATGATTGGCCATTGTTTGTACGGTCGCCGCACACAGAGTTGTACGGCGCACCTCCCAATCCTGGCGAGCAGACATGCAGGCATACGATGACACACACAGCGATAACGCGTCCCACAATAGTTGAAATAAATAATTATGAAATAACTGATAAAATTGTTTAATCATTAAGGAGAGAGATAGAGAGAGGACATCTAATTGAGGTCACTGGTGCCTAGAGCGAACAATTATAGAGATTGGAGTTAGTTATGTACTACATCATGAAGGTAACCAGGAAAAGAACACGAATAAGGAGACTGTTGTTACACAGTGGGTCATTTCAGGTCTAAACAAGATGTATGCAAACTTTTTTGCTCTGCAGATCTAACTAGAATCTATACACTGCATAACTGTTGCTTTAATTTTAGAGAATGGTGGAAGATGGAAGTGATTCCCAAGTAAGCTTTTTTAATTCATGAGAAAATCATTTTGTTACATAAATATTTTTAAGATCTATAAATTTTTAATTTTATCTTTTTTTCAGAGATTCCATTTCGATTGAATATTTCAAGCCCTTGAGTCTAAAATACTTACTTCAAGTGTAAATTTTCTTGCAAGTTAATGTTAGAAATTAGACATTGCAAAAAAATGTTGTTAATTTTGTATTTATAAATTTAAAATAGTCCATCACCTGTAGCCTTCGAAAATTTCAATATCTGTGTGGCGTCTTTAAATGTCAACAAACAGTTTGTTCCTCATTTCATGGTGCATATTTTAAATTTGAATATTTATTAAATATTATATTAAATGTGCATGTTGTGTAATTAACTGTCTTAACATTGATTTAAGACACATTTTTTTTGCAAATTTAAGTTTTTGAGGCAATTGTCCCTGAATGGCATGCAAAAGGAATTTAGGTTGACAAAGAAAGTTGGAGCGATATGTAGGGAAAGAAATCGTTACGTTGATATGCTTCCGTGTGAGTTGTGACATTATTTGTGCTTTTTGAAAGTTTTTTGTTTTGGAAATATAATATTTGTCTTAATCCCGTAGATGATCAATCTCTCATTCTCTTGGGGCGTCCTTGGCCATTTGTTTTAGACTATCCAGAATCCTCAATAACGGTAAATTAAATGCCAATTTTTAGTCAACATTTAGTTTATATTTTTTAATTAATATTTTATCGAACCTGAATACGTATTATTTCATTTTCTCCTTTAAATTCAAATCGTTCAAATTCGAATCTTACAACAGTGTCCTAGATCATTGCTTTGTTTTAAAGATGTGTAAAAGTTACAATTCAAGTATTAATATTTGATTAGGAAAATTATTAAAATGCAGCCATTTCAAACTTGTAAAAGCGTTTCAATACTAGGAGCAAATAAGCAATATCAAGCGAGCATGTTGACTTGAAATAAAAAATACGCCAATGTCCAATTTTCAAAAATAATATTTTGTTTGCATTTTAATAAATGAGTATTATTCACAACCACAATCTCCACTCGTCCAAGCTTCGTGAGTCTTTGTTTCAAAATCCTATTTTCATTGGCTGATGGTTTCAATAAGGTTGTCAATTACCATATTATGATCTATTTGCCACATTTATTTGGCCAAAAGCATGCATTAAGTATGCGTAGATTATGTAGATACAATTACTATAACGAAGATGCTGTCATTGAAGGTACAATTTGGGATCCATCTGGTCTAGTAAAGACAGGCCCCCCTATTGGCCTAGTCGTTAATTTTATCTCTCGTAGTAATCGTTTAATTATAATCAATTAACTGTCATATTTACTCAACGCTATATCTAGTGGGCAGGAACTGTACTTCAACGAGTTACAACAGATTTTAACTTTTTGCGGAATATAGACGTGATCTTGATTATCGCCTATCCATTAAAGGCGAACGTTTACTTTGAAGGTGACAGATGCGTTGAATGATTATATAAACGCGTCATACGTTCGACCACCCAAATATGGAAGTAAAGGTGAGGCACTACCTTGCGACGCTTTGGAAGTACCAGAGTTCATTGCCACTCAGGGCCCCTTAGAAAACACTACCTTCGATTTCCTCACTATGGTCTACGAACAACGCTCAAAATTGATAATCATGCTCTGTCGGTAAGCATAAGATTGAATAAACAATCGACCAAAAAATTAAATTATTATTATGTGACATTGGAGCCTTTCATTTATTCAAGCCCCAATAAGGAAACAACTTTCCTATTGACCTAATTATTCATGCAAAGTGTTTAGATGGCTTCAACTTCACGCACGAATTGATTGAAATATTAATTAAATATTCAACTAAAAGCAACTTTGCTGAATTTAGAAAGGCCTTATTAAACCAGTCAGTAAATCACGTTCATCTGACAAATTTGTTCTATGGAAATAGAGACTCACCGTGGCATATCCATTCCCAGTGGTTAACTTTAGTTAATTTAGGTCGGGTTTGCAGGATGCTTACTTACCAAAAGACAGCCTCCTCCTACAGCAGTCAGAATTTGTCAACACTTCCTTTACTTTCCCATAGTGGTTAATTACAGCAATGCACTTGTCATTGAAGTCATGACTTGAGGTGTTTCCTGTTAATAGAGTCAAAATTGATGATGGGGTCCAAAACTAACGAAGCTCAACCATAAAACATGCCTGTTTGCCAACTCTATTCTTTAAATTATATACATTTCACCCCTCTCCCTCCCCCCCCCCCCCCCCACATTTCCCTATTTTCCGAAGAGCTACGATGAATTTTTAAAATATAAAGCAAAATTTAATTGCGTAGATTCCGTTTCATAATTCGAAACAGGTTTAATCAAACTTGATATCATCATAATTGTAATCGAACCATATTCTTAAATCTCCTAATCTTTGCTTAATGCAGAGGCCATAATCAGTGAATAAGGGCTTTAGATATGTCTGTCTGATAAATAAACACAAAAACGAATCTTATTTTAGGAAAATTTTATTGATTTCCAAAACTCATTTACATGCTTTTCATAAAACTTTTCAGCAGATCCTTCACAAATAAAGCTTGGCTAAACCCCACAACTCTCTTTGGCAAATTAGCCTAATATGGAATAGTTTTCGAAATTAGTTAACCTACATCAAATATAATTAGGAGTCAGAAAATGTGACGCGGGATGCCTGTATTCTGATTGTGGTCCCATCACAAAGCCCGGTCATTAAAATACAGTGAAGGATTTGTTAAACATTACACTCACCATTGATCAGACGTTATCTAAGAGGTCTCTGCTCTCAAGGCCGCACCCGCTGCCAACGGGACAAGTCCCACTTTAGCACTTTCGAGACTGCCTGAATGTGCATGCGATTTCTTCATTCGGCCATAGCACTCCACAGCTTCTAGTTGGCTGAAGGGCAAAATAAGGTCCATTTTATTCTCTTCAACTGCAAAGCCACATTTCACGGGAATTCACACAAGATCGGCGAAGTAGAGAAAGCTTAACTGATTTGTCCAATTAGAAAAGGAATCGGCAAAGTATAAAAGATAAAGTTAGGAATTAAGTCGATTTTCATGATTTGCTTAATTTGATAATAGGAAATCATGTCAAAGGTTAGCACTTAAACCAGAATTTCTTACTGAAGATTGAAATGGGGAAATTTGCGATGGTTTGAACCCAACCCCATTAATGTTGCCACAATCTTTAATATCGCCTTAAAATAAATACATGAGATATTAAATGCTCATTCAAAGTGAAAAAAGCATAAAATAGGGCTCTTTTAAGGGATTAATACTTATTTATGCTAATAATTTTAATTTATCTTAACGAAATAACTCCATTATGAGCATTCATTGCTGAAAGTCAGTAATACATTATTGATTAATAGATGTCTATTTCTCTCACTTGTTATTAAATAATACATTTAAATATACGGATTATTTTGATTTACATCTATTATTTTTACTGACTTTGAATAAACAAAAATGCGCAACATTTTAAAGTCATTGAATGCTTCCTAATTGGCTGAATGTCTAAATATTCTTAAACTGCTATGCAATGCCTTGAGATTATAAAGAGCAATGGAATTCGAAGTTAACAAATCAAGTGATTAATAAGTAAATACCAGTACTATCTAGAATCAAATTTTACTTTCATTTGTTTGTATCTTTGTTTTCATTAAATTCGTTTAAGTGATGCATTCAAACATGATAATTTAATTGTCAGATTTAGAGGTTGTACTGTGCCTGCCATATTCGTAGCTTGCTGGTCGGGAGAGTTAATTTTGCTGGTAGTCATGTAAAGTATGAGAATATGTGACGAGAAGAAAGCATATGGTTTCATTCTCGATTAATTTATTTTGTCCCAAACCTCTTTTGCTATGCGTCTGGCAGGATTTTATACCTTAACAAATACCCTCGCTTTACAGTATACTCTTTTTCAAACAAATTTTAATGACTTCTCAAATTGGATCACTTCGATTTAGAAAACAAAGTAGTGATTTGTATTTGTGCTTTAACAAAAAAAGGTGCATTTGTCAATATTTGCTATTTAATTCTACATGAAATTCCTCTCTTGCATTTTCTCTCTTGATTACTTGGATGACATTTCCGAATAGATAAAAATTTATTACTAAAAAATCTAATCCTTCAATACTCACGTGTCAATATCATTACCCTAATGTTATCAATTCGAAATATATTTCTTTAAAATAGTTGAATATGAACTTGTTCGACGGCTTTTATTCAGTGGTTGATATCTCAAAGCGTTTGGCTTTTCAATGTTGGCTGATTGGTGGTCGGAATTGAGAACTGATGAATGACACCTAAAATCTTAAGCATATTGAAGTCTCCAATCGCCCCCCCACCCCACCCCAACTCGGTAAACTAAGGAATGGAAAATCCGGCTATTTTTTGTTCTTAGCAATTCTATTTAACAACAGTGGCATGTTCCGCTTTATAGATGCTAGAATAAAAAAAATCGGAATCAATATACAAATGAGAATTTAAAATTTAATTAAAGCATTCGAAGTAAATGAGTGAATTGTCATCTCCTTCGCCAAATTATTTGATGGTCATTTAGTATCAACGAAGTGGAATGTACGTCGAAGAGAAATAGCGGTTGGATATGCAATTAAAAAAATAAATATATACATGATAGAATATGCTCGAGTTGGATAACGATAAAAATCGAAAATCATGTGTCCCATACCTAGTGGAACGCTGAGTCAATTCTCAATTATTTACGAGCTTTTGAAAGATATTCTAGCTAATGAAGAATTAAATTTCAAGATTTCAAATCGAACGAAAACCTTCATTGAATGCATTTAGACCTTTCGTATCAAAGTTCATACAACTACAACTACTATTTCATTTAAGCAGCATATGTTGTTAGTAAACACTTATATTCACACTTGTGTATTTTGTAGACTGAAAGAAAACGGGAAGGAGAAATGCCATGAGTATTGGGATGACGAGTGTGAAATAACCGTGACCATGGACAATCGGAGTATTACGGTCAATGTTCTTGAAGTGGAATCTCTTGAATGTGATCTAATTCGACGAACTCTCCAGATCCAATCCTCGGATAGGGATGAGGCAAGCAAATCAGAAAATATTGAACCCCCCATATGGACAAATATCAGAAATTACGAATGGTTGCAAATTTCGGATCAGTTAGAATTTATATTAACTTCGAGTGGTTTTTTCTAAAGCTGTTCGTCATATGCATAACATACTAGAGACTTGGGCCTCTTCTCAATCGTTTAAGGATCTCTGGGTTTGCAAATTACTGTTTTATTTGTATTCTCTTTCAGATGGAGATGGTTTCAGAATTTGACTTTATTGCCGCGTACATTCGAGTTTTTCCTACAATCCTCTTCACCCGAACCCCGAATCTCGTTTGTTTAGAAATCAGTGATGTGTATTTGGAGTATTTATAAATCGATTTGACATAGATTTATTTACAGTTGCAGTAATACTTATGCAATTTAGAGAAATGGGATAAAACTTTTACTCAATGAGTTCGAGAAAGGCACTATTTTGATGCACAAATCTGAAAAAATGTACATATGTAATTATTTCTCTAAGACCCTTTCAAGAAACACATTTTGTCGTACTTGTCAAAATTTTAGCGCAGACACTGGAATGTATGTCCTTGGTATGCGCTGTACCTGAGAAATTGAGCTCCCTGTTTGTTAATGGAGAGAGAGAAAGAGTCTTGAATGAGCCGAGAACGAGGATTCGAATTTATCATTTCAAGGTCGTAGGTTTTCAACAGTTAAAGGTAACATAAGCGTTAGGCGCAGGGGCGACAATTCATTTTTCTTGCTTGTGAAGCTATTGACCTTCAAGCAACTATTACGCTCTTTTAACTCCTAGAGAATTTCTCTTGACAGATTTATTCGCAACAATTCTCTCTCTCTTTGTCTGTGCACTATTTCGTATTGAGAGCAGTTTTAAACTAAAATAAATTAGCCTGCAAGCCTCATAAACACACCAAACTAGCGACTGATATATTTTTTAAGTGTTAAAAGTTGTTAAGACTTCATCTAATATATTCGCTATAGCAAAGAAGTTCCTGAATTAGTTTCGATTAATATCAGAGAGGAAGGGTCACATCTATTTGTTTAAAGTAAGTACGTTTCGCTTTTAGCCGTGGACGGTAGTACATTACCATTTCCCGCAATGGCCGGACTATGCAGCTCCAGACATGGGATCATTTTACAACTTGGTTGAGTGGCATAGGAGATTCGTGGAAGAAAATCCAATTGATCGTGATGTTGGTCCACCAATCATTCATTGCAGGTAAGTGCAATTAAAACGATTGCTATTGGCTCTTCGTACTGTGAAATACCGTGTTCAAAGAATTAACCCGTTGAAAGTAATTTCTATTATCCCCAAAAATCCCATATCGGAGACTCTGCACTGTCGGTCCCCTTGTGCCAAAAAAGTTAGAAGGTGAGCTAGGAACTGATCACATGTAATTGAGGTTTCTAGGCTCATTACTTTTTCACAGTTGCCTCGTTAACCAGTAAAGGTCAAACAGAGAGGTTTCATTGGCATGGAGGGGTCCTAGATGCCGAAACGAAAGTGACAATCTCGTGCTGACTAGCAAAACAGGCTAATTAAGAAATAAACGGTGAAAAATTTCATGAGAAATTGATTCAAAATTCAATTGGCTGTTGTCTATGAGAATTGGGGAGGAAGTGAATTAAATGGGTGAAATGTAAAAGAGGCGATTGAAATGTTAAATTCCCCACAAATTCGCATACACAATAGCATTTAATATTAATTGCATATAATTAAATGATCTTAATAAACGCACGAATTGTAACTTAAGATACCTTTTTTCGATGATAAGGGTAAAATTTAAAAATAATTTAAAGCATTGACAGTATTGACGATACTTTAACTAATAAATTCCCCCCCCCCCTCCTTGTTCTTACTTGGTTCTTTATGCTTTTTTTGCATTTAAAGCGCTGGTGTTGGCAGAACAGGAACGTTCATCGCTGCTTTTTATCTTCTTGAGAGGCTTAGAGAGGATCCAAGTGCAATAGATGTTTGGGGCACCGTTCTCTCCATTCGTAGATGGCGATCGAATCTTGTCCAAGTTTGGGTATGTTGCCGTCACCCCCAACCCCCCCC